CATACATACATACATACATACATACACACATATATACTTATACATACATATCGGGTGGGAGAGTGGCACTAATACTTCAGCTATAAAGGACTTGGTGTTCCTTTCCTTGTAGACATGGATACCAATATAAAAATTATGAGGGTTCCCCCCCTTTTTTTTTTTTAGATTTATTTATTTTATTTATGAGCACACTGTAGCTGTCTTCAGACACACCAGAAGAGGGCATCAAATCTCATTACAGATGGTTGTGAACCACCATGTGGTTGCTGGGATTTGAACTCAGGACCTCTGGAAGTGCAGTCAGTGCTCTTAACCACTGAGCCATCTCTCCAGCCCCCAGTTTCCTCCCTTTTTAAGACAGGACCCATGTAGCCCAAGCTGGTCTCAAACCTGTTATTTACCCAATGCTGACCTTCCTGACTGATACTTTTTACAAAATTTTTACAAAACAATGTAAAGATTTAAAACAATGTAAAGATTTTGTCTTTACACGATGCCTTTAGAACTGGGCATAGTGGTGCAGGTCTACAATCCTGACACTTTAGAGGTCAGAAGTCAGTGTCCAATACCCTGGAACTGGAGTCACAGGCTGTTGTGAGCTGCCTGATGCTGAAGTGGATGCTAGGTACAATACAGTTTGCACTTTCATCTGTTGACCCATTTGTCCAGCCTCCATTATTATCAAACTAATTTAAATGGCTCCATTATTCACAAAAAAAAATATCTAAGCAATTGTTACTACTGAAAGATTGTTGTAGTCAATGTAGTCAAATTAATTCACCTAAAACTTTTACTAAGGGGCAGCTGGGCAGCTGTAGTTCTTTAAGTATAAAACATTGTTAGTGCTGTTATCTAGAGAATCTCTCCATACAGGACTGCAGGTATGGAGCAAGGAACCCTGGAAACAAACATTCCTGGTACCAATTCTCAGCAAATTTAAAACTCTATTAAAAATACTGATTATAAGTCACTCTTGTAATCCCAGCATTTGGGAGGCTAAGGCAAGATGTTCTGGGCTAGAAACCAGACTGGGTTAGAGTGACCTAGTTTCATAAATCCAATGGGCGGGGGGTGTGGAGCAAAGCAAAGAAAAACATTCATATTACAGATAGACAGCGGTACAATTCAAACATACTTAACACCTTTACCATATACAACTGGGGATTGGAGAGATGGCTCAGAGTTCCAAAACTTGCTGCTCTTATTTTGCAGCACCTACCTCACAAGGGCCTACAACGCCAGCGGCAGGGGATCTAATACCATCTTTTAGCTTCTGAAGGCATTTGTACATACGGCATGAGAGTGTTCCCCGACACACACACAGCAGGTTTTTTTAATTGTACAATTAAAATTGGTTTTTAAGATGGTAGGCAAGAGACAGCCTGGTCTACATATCAAGGCTACACAGTGTGACCCTGTCTATTTTTTTTTTTTAAAGGCAAAACTTTAGACTGGTTATGGTGGCACATGGCTATGATCCCAATACTAAGTGGCTGAGGCAGAAGTGTCGCTGTATGTCCAGCCAGCCTGACCCATACAACAAAATCCTCTAAAAAAAACAAATATGCCCCCAAAATGGGTTAAATTTTAGGTCATGTCTATTTAAGTATGCATAAAATTATAATTCACTTTAATCAGACAAAGACAATGTAATAACTAAAGACACAGGGAAAGTAAAGGGGTAACTTCCTTTTGAATATCACAACTGGGGTGGGCTACAACAGCAAGCACCACAAAACCCAATTTAAATGCTGTCTCTTTGAGAATAAACTTAGAATCAATTAACATGGCAAAAAAAAAAAAAATACCCAGATACTCTGCAAAAACTGTAATAAATCATTTACCACTGTGCAACTGTAGCTGAATGAAACCCAAGTACATAATGTACACAACCTGTGGAAACACAGTAAGCAACCTTCAAGACAGAACCAGGAGGAAGTAGCAAACAAAGACTGGTTGCTTACTGTCTCCTGGCATGAAAAGGCATGACTCCAGCCCCACCTTAGTTCTCAACTCCAGATTTTTACATTAAGAGTGCTAATAGCTATATTAGCACAGTCCCAAAACAAAAACTGAATTTGCCCCTCCTTAGAAAATGACCCTTCGCTGGGCAGTGGTGGCACACGCCTTTTAATCCCAGCACTTGGGAGGCAGAGGCAGGCAGATTTCTGAGTTCGAGTCCAGCCTGGCCTACAGAGTGAGTTCCAGGACAGCCAGGGCTACACAGAGAAATCCTGTCTCGAAAAACGAAAGAAAGAAAGAAAGAAAGAAAGAAAGAAAGAAAGAAAGAAAGAAA